TCTTGAATCTAACTTCTGTCACACACAACTGACCAGACCAAGCTCCTTTATTTGATCAGCAGTGTCCAAATCATGCTCCAATAATCCCTAGGAGTTTTGTAGTTGCATCTCTGAGAACCACTGCAGGGGACAAGTTGGCAAAGAGCATGACAGACATCAGAGAAACATGCTATGTGACTTTCTTGGTGCTTTACTACGTGTCTTGCTTAATGTTTATATGTGTATGTGTGAGTGTGTGTATATGTGTTATGTATGTGTGTACTAATTTTATCTACACAACAACCCTACTGTTTTCATCTTCCTTTGATAACATGAAGAAATTAAGGCACAGAGAGATTCAGCAACTAAAGTGATATAGCTGGCAAGTAGCAGAGTTAGGCTTGGAACTATGATATTCTGATTTCTGAACCAGCTTTCTTGATTTCTACTTTATACTGGGGTTTACTGTGTGCTGGGGATTGTGCTGAATGTTAATGATTTCATTCATTTTTCATGACTGCCCTGTACAGTGGGTACTATTATCTTTACTCTTTCTCTTTTTGCTTTTTTTGTTTTTGTTTTTGAGACAGAGTCTTGCTCTGTCACCCAGGCTGGAGTGCAGTGGCATGATCTCGGCTCACTGCATCCTCTGCCTCCCGGGTTCAAGCAATTCTCCTGCCTCAGCCTCCTGAGTAGCCGGGACTGCAGACACGTGCCACCATGCCTGGCTAATTTTTTGTAGTTTTAGTAGAGACTGGGTTTCACCATATTAGCCAGGATGGTCTTCATCTCCTGACCTCATGATTCGCCCGCCTTGGCCTCCCAAAGTGCTGGGATTACAGGCATGAACCACTAAGCCTGGCCTTATCTTTACTCTCTCAATGAAGAAATATAAGGAATTTGTTCACAGTCATGGAGTGGCAGAGCTCTATTCACACTTGGGTCTGCCTGTCCTGAGAGCCCACTGTCTTAATCCCATTACACACACATCTTCCTGTGTGTAATGACTAGTGGATTGTGTGTGCTTTCTCCTCTGCTAGAATGTAAGCTCTTTGAGGAAAGAGGACAATACCTTTTTTATCTTTGTCTTTCAGGAGCCTTAGCAAGGTGGCGGTTGTTTTTGTTGTTCTTTCTTCTTCTCCTTCTCCTTCTTCCTCTCCTTCTCCCTCTCCCCCTCCCCCTCCTTCTTCTTCCTCTTCTCCTCCTCCTCTTTCTTCTTCTTCTCCTCCTCCTCCTTCTTCCTCTCCTCCTCCTCCCCCTCCTCCTCTCCTCCTCCTCCTCCTCCTCCTCCTTCTTCTTCTGGAACTGTGGTACAGAGGACTTAGCAAGGTTCTTGACTCATAGTCAATGATGCTTAATAAATGCTAGATTTGTTACCTACACAGTGGGTGGATTTGTTAGCTTGGAAGGTGACAGTCCAATGACCACAACCAAGGAGGATTTAATGAGGGGATTTCATTACTTGCAACAAGTAAGGAGGACACTGGGGATAGTTCCTAAAGCAGTGCTTCTCCAAGCAACACTGAAAACAGTGCTTCTATTGGGCTGGTTAGCTCAGTCATTGTATGTACAGGTGGAGTAAAGGCAGGAAAGACACAATTGTCAATCATGCTTCTACATAAGTTGCATGTATAGAAAATGGTGAATAAGCTCTTCCCTGGGCGGGGATTTTAGCAGGGTAGTAAAGGGAGTTCACCAAAGTTCATCTTCAACTCAGGCATTTCTGGATCCGAACAGTTTTGGTTTTTGTTTTTCTGGGGCTGAGCTTCTTCCTAGAACTTTTTTGAAACAAAGAATGCAAGGTGAAACAGTTATAAGTGGGTACTTTTTCACAGTGCATACTCAAAACCCAGGACCTTGGGTTACAAATTGACTGGAAGTCAAGGTATGGAGGCTCTCAGAGTAGAAATCAAGGAATGAGTTGAGAAGATAAAGGTCCCAGAAGTTGAGAAGATTAAGGAACTCTGAGACCAAATGATAAAAGGCTCTTCGTGTGGATGCTAAAGACCGAGGAAAGGCAACTGAAAACTCTCTGACACCAAAATTGTCCATGAAGGGTGGGTGGTGGTGCAGTGTGGCAAAACACCCGGAAGGCTAATTATCCAAGCAGAGTCACAGAATGGCCACAGCTCAGGGTGGTCACCATGTTTAGGGTCTAGTCTTCTGTTTTTCCATTTGAGAAACTTCATTTTCTCTCGATTCCCCAAAATGATTAGGTTTTCATGCTGACACACCAAAGGCATAAGAAACTGTTCAATAACCAGAATATCATGTGATTATGCTCAAATTACCTTGACCAGAATTTTCTTGTTCTGATTATAATGGTATGGTCATCTAAGAAAGGCAAGGGGCAGACTAGAAAAGGCATTCAGGTGGAGTATGGTGGCTCACGCCTATAATCCCAGCATTTTGGGAGACAGAGGCATGCAGATCACTTGAGGTCAGGAGTTCAAGACCAGCCTGGGCTACATGGCGAAACCTCGTCTCTACTGAAAATAGAGAAAAACTTAGCCAGGCATGGTGGCACATGCCTGTAATCTCAGATACTAATGAAGCTGAGGCACAAGAATCCTTTGAACCCAGTGTGCCAGGATTGTACCATTGTTCTCCAGCCTGGGTGACAGAGTGAGACTCTGTCTCAAAAACACCCAAAATGGACAGACATTCAATATAGTGTCCTCACTGGAGAAAGTCTGTGTGAATAGAAGGAGGGTGGTCAGCCCAGAACAATGAAGGAGGTCATGGGAGGCTGGCAACGCCTGTCAGAGCTTGCTCAGGGGACAGAGTCTGATCTGAGCACACTTGCTCAGGTGAGTCCTGTAGTAAGTGGTCATTAAATGACAGCTGTTATTTTTGTTAAGATGAGTGAGGATGTCTCCAGGGAGTCTTAACTGAGAATCACCTTTTGAGATTAGGTAACTCATGTTCTATTTCTTAGAGTATTGCTTCTGTATTCTTGTTTGAAGGAGTCTGCCTCTGAGGACAGAGTCCTCTTTCTGTGCAATACAGAGTAATGGCTTCTGCAGGCAAACAAGTAGGGTTCAATTTTGCCTGGCTTTTTGTGCAAGCTATGTAATCCTCCATGCCTCAGTTTCCCTTATCTGTAAAACAGGAATAATAATAGTACCTACCTCCAAAAGTAGTTGTAAGAATAAATTGAGATCATGCATATGTCCTGCAACATAATAAACTCTCAATAAATGTTAACTTTTTTTTTTTTTCTTTTTGAGACAGAGCTTTGCTCTTGTCACCCAGGCTGAAGTGCAGTGGCATGGTCTCAGCTCACTGCAACCTCCTCCTCCTGGGTTCAAGAGATTCTCCTTCCTCAGCCTCCTGAGTAGCTGGGATTACAGGTGCCCGCCACCACACCCAGCTAATTTTTGTAATGTTAGTAGAGACAGGGTTTCACCATGTTGGCCAGGCTGGTCTCGAACTCCTGAACTCAGGTGATTCGTCTACCTCTGCCTCCCAAAATGCTGGGATTACAGGCGTGAGTCACCATGCCTGGCCAATAAATGTTAACTTTTAAGGTCATGTTCCTGAGACTGCAAGGCCAGGACCAAACTATGGATTACCAAAGTAAATGATATCTAGTCAATGAGCCTAGCTCTTCAGAGTGACATCCTCTGCTTCTCTATAGATCACCTTGACATTTCAAACAAGTCACAAATACTTATAATAGTCTCACTTATTTACATATATCTGAGACATACATATTTACTGAACGTTTCCCACAACCCCACTAGTAGTATCCCCATTTTACAGATGAGGAAACTGAAGCACAGAGAGGATAATTTGTCCAGTGAGTAAAAGATGGCTCTCATTTGTGTTAACCATCTTTTTATTTTCTTATTAAACTACCTCTTCTTTCTTATAATCTTATCATTCAAGAATGGGTATTTTGCAGTGAGAAAGGGATCCACAACTCACTTTTTCTGTCATCTGTAAGAATGTTTTTAAAATGTACTTTCTGCTTAACGAACTTTGAATCCATCCACAAACGCACCAAGTAGCTATATAACGTGGTGGACAACTTTGTTATTTGCAATTGATAAAACCAAACACAAGGTTGTTCACCAGCTATTATGTAGCAGGCATCACAGAGTATACCTGTAATAGTGATTTTTCATTACTGAAATTTCAGTACTGGCTCATCTGTTCTCTTGTTTCAAAAATCCAGAAGATGGGAACAAATTTATAAAGACACTTTACAAGGTTATTAATATCTATAAAACCGACTAAGCATGCATTTATGAAGCCCCCAGGTGTTGGGATTGTACTTGGCGAACATCTAAGGCAGTAAAATTACCTTTTCTGTGGTATTCTACGGTCTACAGGAGCTTTTTTATTTTTATGTTTTGAGATGGAGTCTCCTCACTCTTTTGACCAGGCTGGAGTGCAGCGGTGCGATCTCAGCTCACTGCAGCCTCCATCTCTCGGGTTCAAGGGATTCTCCTGCCTCAGCCTCCCGGGCAGCTGGGATTACAGGCGCCCGCCACCATGCCAGGCTAATTTTTTTTTTTTTTTTTTTAATTTTTAGTAGAGACGGGGGTTTCGCCCTGTTGGCCAGGCTGGTCTCGAACTACCGACCGCAAGTGATCCGCCCGCTTCGGCCTCCCAAAGTGCTGGGATTACGGACGTGAGCCACCGCGCCCGGCCACAGGAGCTTTTTAGAAGATGCTTTACGCCACACAGTAATGCAACACTGAAAAGACAAGTCGCCTTTTTGCTGCTTTTGCATCTCTTTCCTTAACTTCTGGAAATCTTGAAAGTTTGTCCGCTGTACTTCCACAGTTGTCTACCGAAGATTCTCAGTACATCTACCATCTGAGCCTTGACTGTGTCTCCGAATTTCTCCTGTTGCAAATCGAGGTCCCTAGACTGGGCACAATCTGGGCATGCGCAGAAGCTCAGCCAACTCGGGGCTCCGCCTCCCCTCCTCTAGCAAGGGGAAGCGGGTGAGCGGCAGCGCGCGTGCGCAAGCGTGGTGGTGGGATACGTCTGGAGAGCGCATGGGCAGAGAAACCTTACGTCCGTTTGTCCGGACCGGAGGGGCAGTGGGCGCCATCTTCTTCTAGGCTCACTGAGGGCTCTACGTGTTCTGGGGAGGCTGCTGCGACGAGGAGTACCCTCAGCCTCCGGCCTTGTGTGTCCGACTCGGCAGCAGTGGTGTGTGTTTATTGCCAAGTGCGAAGCAGTTCCCCTCGGGGCGCCGGGGGTGGGGAGGGCTGGGCGACCAAGCCGGAAGACCCGGGAAAGGCGGGACCGGCGGCCGCGCCAGTATCTAGCGTAGCTCCTGCCGTTAGGGCACCCTCTTTTCTTGCTAAAACACCGACTCTCCCTTTCCCGTCAGCTTCCATGTGGTGGTGTATGTGCGCTTCCCAGGGATCTTAAGAGTGAAGATCTCGAAGGATTTCATAGGTATTTCTTTTTCTTTGCTATGTCATCGTAGTTAGTAGTGGCAGAAAAGCGCTGCAGGCCCGGCTCGTTAGGCTTGAGAAGGGCAAGTGTTTTCAGTTAGATTTGGGGGCAGTTCACCCTCTGGCGAGGTAGGGTGGAATGTTTGCCCTTGAGACGGCGTAACGGAAAGGCACAGAGGTTGGGCGGTCCAGGTTAATTTGAAGGCTGATTTTGGCTGAAAGTCTGGCAACAACATCGGATCCCACGTAGCAACTTTGGCCTGGCGCGAAAGAAGGAAGCTCTGACCCCTGGGAGTTATGGACAAAGGCTTTGGGCTGTAGAATCGATGCCTTCGGATGATTCCCGTTTGAGGATGTTGGGAGAAATCCTGTGCCGTGTGGATTCGTCTTCATTTACAGTTCTTCTTAGGGACTATGGCTCTCATTGGTCATTCCTTTGGTTTTTATTTTAAACATCTACATTATAAAAGGTGGATCATCATAAAGAATAATTGTGGGTTGGTGTAGATTATTTTCTCCAGGGGAAACTCACGTTTAGAGTGCGAATATGCTACATCATGACTTTGGGCTTTATGAATTAGTCGCAAAGAGTTAAAAAAATTCTCTCTCTCACCATATCTGGAAAATGACTTTTTCTTCGCTAGTTAAAAATCAAATGGATCTAATGAGATATTACTTATTCAAATTCTGCCTCCCTCCCCTTTCCCTCTCTGTATCCCGTTAAATCTTGATTAGAAGATACACATTACATATTGTTTAGCTATAATGATGATTAAGTGGAATGAATCGTATAAAAATAGAAGTTATTTAAAATGCGCTTTTAATTTCACTGACTTAAGTGACCTTTTAGGGACCCACTTTCTTCTTTTCATAGAAATTTTAACAGATTATTGTCTTCAAATGAACACAAAGGCACGAAAATACTTTTTGCATTCATAACTAGAAAAATGCAAAATTTTAATTGCAGACTAGGGTAATTTTCGTGTTTTGCTTTTGTGTAATTTAGTGTGTTAAGAGCTGAATTTCTGGAGAATTTGCTTAAGGAAATAGCATGTTGGAACCACAGAAGTGCCCATTTTGAGAACTGGTCTTTTATAGTTGGTCTCCAAGGTGTGATACTGTGGAGGCATAAATGGTACATTACCCTACTGTCTCAGGGGCAGAGAAGTTTAAGCATTAGTTGTGTTTAACTGTGGCAAATGAGAGTAAGCTTTTTAAATAGTCTGCTTGAATTGGAATTCATGAGATTTGTGCTCATGAAACTACTTAGTTAAAAGATCTTACTAGAGATTTTTTTGAATTTGAGATATAATTATTCCTTGAAATGTCTCTAATTTCTCTTGTAGATGAATTTATGTTCCCAGGGTAAATCCCTTTAAATTTTTTTGAAAAGCTTAGGAGAGACAAGAATATGTATATCTTACGGTGCTTTCTAAAATATCTTAACAGTAAAAGAATAGCTAAGCCAATTTGCGTAGGAGGGAGTCTTGGGACTTTAATATGGATAAGCATTCCAGAAGCCATTTATAGTTTTTGTTGAAGTGTTTGTATGGATATTGGTTTGTTGAAGAAAATAGGCTTTTTCTGGGTTGTTACTGTGCAAATACTTGAATAGCAAACCTCATTAATATTTTTCAGATGTAGAATGTGTGAAGTAATTTGATGTCTTTGCTAGTTTAGCTTCTAGTTAATCTATGGACCCTTTTTAAAGGAAAACAAACAGACCTCAGTGAATGTATCTTCAGACCCCCACTTTGGGGAACAGTGGTACTTAAGTGTAAGTACTGGATTCTTGATTAATGCAACATTTATTTGTACATTAAAAACATGTAAATTACGCCAGGCGCAGTGGATCATACCTGTAAATCCTAGCACTGTGGGAGGCTGAGGCAAGCTAGTTGCTTGAGCCCATGAGTTCCCTACCAGCCTGGGCAACATGGTGAAACCCTGGCTCTACAAAAAATACAAAAATTAGCCGGGTGTGGTGGTGCACACCTGTAGTCCCAGCTACTTGGGAGGCTGACGTGGGAGGATTGCCTGAGCCTGGGTAAGTCTAGGCTGTATTGAGCCAAGATTGCACCACTGCACTCCAGCCTGGGTAGCAGAGCGAGAGAGACCCTGTCTCCTCCACCAAAAAAAGTGAGTGTAAATTATAATTATTATTTTGGCAAGTCTTCGTGAAATAGTTTGGGTATCCCTGAAAGTATTAAACACAGACTTCTTTAAAAAAAAATACATTGAGATTTTCAGTAAACTGGTAATCCCAGTATTCCAGGTTAATTTTTACTTTTACTTTCTACATCATCATTTGGGTTTCCTTAGTAGAGTGAAGAATAGTTGTTTGAAATGGAAATCTGCTATTGGCATTACTAATAAGATAAATAGCATTTTCTGTTTGGCTGAGAAGAATTTTACCAGTTAACTATTTTTGCAGTATAAGGAGTGCTATTGAGATTTTTAACTTTAGGGATATTGTAGTATTTGCCTTAATTATACTGGTATTATGAAATTTGGTTCTGTGCTCAGACGTGTGAGCTGTTTATGTAGACCTTTAAATTGTATCCAAACAGTAGCCCATAGGTTTGGATTTATTGTTTTAAAAATTGATTTTTGAATTTCAGGCTTTGCTGTTTTATTCATTTATTGTATAATTTTGAATGGTTGCCTTAATTTGATTTGGTCTTATGTTTTGAAAGGAAGGAGAACACGAGAGTTGGATATAAATATGTATTAGGTATTTGAATTTTCATGTGGCAAAATGATTGAAGGTCTTTTTTTTTTTTTAACTTTTGGTATTGAGATTTTACTTGTAGAACAGTTTTTTGAAGTAGATGTAAAACTTGTGTACAGCAAAATGTATAGACCGTAAAGATAGAATTCAGTAAACCTTGATAAATTTATACACCCATGTAACTACTACTGCATTCAAAATATATAACATTTCCGTCACTCCTTTTTTTCATGCTACTTCCAATCAAGGAGCAGTTGTTCAATTTTCCGCAAGTTTTAAATTTTTAAATAATTTTTACGTCTATTTGAATATTGTATCTCCTTTTTGCAGAAGGATGATTAATTTCCCCTTGGAACAAAATACCATTTTGTAACACCTGTAATTGTGGTTCCTTATACTGCTTCACTTTTGATAGGTAATTCTGAAATGGATATCCTAATCTGGCGTTGTTTAAGATAAATTACAGGGTTCGAGGATTAATTATATTTCATTTTCTTTCCACAGTTAAGTTGCTTTTACAGAATTAACAGGTCTCCAAGAAATTGTAAAAAAGGTAAGATATCCAGAGTTTAAGGCTTTTTACAGAGGCTTGACAAAAAACATGTGAAGTAGAATAGTACATCTAGGTACCCATGGCTTCTGTTCCCTTTTTTTTTTAAAGACAGGGCCTCACTCTGTCACCCAGGCTGGAGTGCAGTGGCACAGTTGCAACCCATTGTATCCTGAAAATTTCAAATTGGGCTCAGGCAGTCTTCCTGCCTCAGCTTCCTGAGTAGCTGGGACTACAGGTGCATGCCACCCTGCCTGGCTAATTTTTTCTTTTTAGAGACAGGCTCTCGCTCTGTTGCCGAGGCTGGTCTTGAACTCCTGGCCTCAAGCGATCCTCTTGCCTTGGCCTTCCAAAGCCTGGAATTATAGGCGTGAGCCATCATGCTGGCCCTGGCTGCTGTTCTCTGTGTCTGGCCAGTGGTAGGCAATTTATTATCATGAGCAGAAATTACATACTAACCATAGATGACTTTTCTAAATATGTAAAATTCATTGCAGTTGATAAAATAATCTACAAAGCTGTCATGTTTCAGTAGAAGATAAGATTCTAAATGAGTCTGAAAGTAGTTTGGTCTTCTTGTGAAGCAGCATTTGGCAGACTTACAAAGGAAGATTTGATATTTTTGATGTTCCTATTGTATAGAATAGGTGATACGAAATGTTTCTTCAAGGTAGTTGGTTTATTTGTATTTTTAGATGGGAGAAAGTTTTCTTTAATAATTAGATATCAGTATTTTTGTGAACTTGTATCTTGTTTTCATTTATAAATGTTGAAGGAAGCAGGAACCAGGTAATTATTAAGCTTAGTTTGGGCTAAGGTACTTCAAAAATAAGACTTGCTATTATGTGTACCTTTTTGTCTGCAGGTCATTATTGCTGTGGTTTGAACTCAGCATGGCTGTAGTCATCCGTTTACTGGGGCTTCCTTTTATTGCGGGGCCTGTGGATATTCGTCACTTCTTCACGGGATTGACTATTCCTGATGGAGGAGTGCATATAATTGGAGGGGAAATTGGGGAGGCTTTTATTATTTTTGCAACAGATGAAGATGCAAGACGTGCCATAAGTCGTTCAGGAGGGTTTATCAAGGATTCATCTGTAGAGCTCTTTCTTAGTAGCAAGGCAGAAATGCAGAAGACTATAGAAATGAAAAGAACTGATCGTGTAGGAAGAGGGCGTCCAGGATCTGGGACTTCAGGGGTTGGCAGCCTGTCTAATTTTATTGAGTCTGTTAAGGAAGAAGCAAGTAATTCTGGATATGGCTCTTCAATTAATCAAGATGCTGGGTTTCATACTAATGGTACAGGACATGGTAATTTAAGGCCAAGAAAGACAAGGCCATTGAAGGCCGAGAATCCTTTCTTGTTTCTACGAGGTTTGCCTTACCTAGTAAATGAAGATGATGTACGTGTCTTTTTCTCTGGTTTGTGCGTGGATGGAGTAATTTTCTTAAAACATCATGATGGCCGAAATAATGGTGATGCCATAGTAAAATTTGCTTCATGTGTTGATGCTTCAGGAGGTCTTAAATGTCATAGAAGTTTTATGGGTTCAAGATTTATAGAAGTAATGCAAGGATCAGAACAACAGTGGATTGAGTTTGGTGGTAATGCAGTTAAGGAGGGTGACGTTCTTAGGAGATCTGAAGAACATTCTCCACCAAGAGGAATTAATGATAGACATTTTCGAAAACGGTCTCATTCAAAATCTCCCAGAAGAACACGTTCTCGTTCCCCTCTTGGATTTTATGTTCACCTAAAAAATCTGTCCCTCAGTATTGATGAAAGAGATTTAAGAAATTTCTTTAGAGGTACTGATCTGACTGATGAACAGATTAGGTTTTTATATAAAGATGAAAACAGAACAAGATATGCCTTTGTGATGTTCAAGACTCTGAAAGACTATAATACTGCTCTGAGTTTACATAAAACTGTTTTACAGTATCGTCCAGTTCATATTGATCCAATTTCTAGAAAACAAATGTTGAAGTTCATTGCACGTTATGAAAAGAAGAGATCAGGGTCACTAGAGAGAGATAGGCCTGGACATGTTTCACAAAAATACTCTCAAGAAGGTAACTCTGGCCAGAAGTTGTGCATCTATATAAGAAATTTTCCATTTGATGTTACAAAAGTTGAAGTGCAGAAGTTCTTTGCAGACTTTCTTCTTGCTGAGGATGACATTTACTTGCTTTATGATGACAAAGGTGTTGGTCTGGGAGAAGCATTAGTGAAATTTAAATCAGAAGAACAGGCCATGAAAGCTGAACGTTTAAACCGACGAAGATTCTTAGGGACAGAGGTATTATTAAGACTTATATCTGAGGCACAAATGCAGGAGTTTGGTGTAAATTTTTCCTTGATGTCCAGTGAAAAAATGCAAGCTCGCTCAGAGTCACGTGAGCGAGGTGACCATTCTCATTTATTTGACTCAAAAGACCCACCAATATACTCAGTTGGTGGCTTTGAAAACTTTAGACATCAGCTAGAGGACTTGAGGCAACTGGATAACTTCAAGCATCCCCAGAGGGATTTCCGGCAGCCTGACAGGCACCCTCCAGAAGACTTCCGACACTCCTCAGAGGACTTTAGGTTCCCCCCAGAGGACTTCAGGCACTCCCCAGAGGACTTCAGGCGACCTCGGGAGGAAGACTTCAGGCGGCCTTCTGAGGAGGACTTCAGGCGTCCTTGGGAGGAAGATTTCAGGCGCCCTCCGGAGGATGACTTCAGGCACCCTAGGGAGGAGGACTGGAGGCGGCCCCTTGAGGAGGATTGGAGGCGGCCGCCGGAGGAGGATTTCAGGCGGTCTCCCACGGAGGACTTCAGGCAGCTTCCCGAGGAGGACTTCAGGCAACCCCCTGAGGAGGACTTCAGGTGGCTCCCAGAGGAAGATTTCAGGCAGCCACCTGAGGAGGACTGGAGACGGCCTCCAGAGGAGGACTTTAGGCGGCCTCTTCAGGGAGAATGGAGGCGACCACCCGAGGATGACTTCAGGCGGCCCCCAGAGGAGGATTTCAGGCATTCCCCTGAGGAGGACTTCAGGCAGTCACCCCAGGAGCATTTCCGGAGGCCACCTCAGGAGCATTTCCGTCGGCCACCCGCAGAGCATTTCCGGAGACCACCTCCAGAGCATTTTAGGCGGCCTCCCCCAGAGCACTTCCGGCGGCCACCCCCAGAGCATTTCAGGCGCCCACCCCCAGAACATTTCAGGCGCCCACCCCCAGAGCACTTCCGGAGACCGCCCCAGGAGCATTTCAGGCGGCTGCCTCAGGAGCATTTCAGGCGCTCCCGAGAGGAAGATTTCAGGCACCCACCAGATGAAGACTTCAGGGGCCCTCCTGATGAAGACTTTAGGCACCCTCCTGATGAGGACTTCAGGAGCCCCCAGGAGGAAGATTTTAGATGCCCTTCTGATGAGGACTTCAGGCAGCTCCCAGAGGAAGACCTTAGGGAAGCTCCGGAGGAGGACCCTAGACTTTCTGACAATTTTAGACCTCCTGGTGAGGATTTTAGGAGCCCGCCTGATGATTTTAGAAGTCACCGCCCTTTTGTGAATTTTGGTCGTCCAGAAGGTGGCAAGTTTGATTTTGGAAAGCATAATATGGGAAGTTTTCCTGAGGGGAGATTTATGCCTGATCCAAAGATAAACTGTGGTTCAGGTAGAGTAACTCCTATTAAGATAATGAATCTTCCATTTAAAGCTAATGTTAATGAAATTTTAGACTTTTTCCATGGTTACAGAATCATACCTGATTCAGTTTCAATACAGTATAATGAGCAAGGCTTACCTACAGGGGAAGCCATTGTTGCTATGATAAACTATAACGAAGCTATGGCTGCTATTAAAGATCTAAACGATAGGCCAGTTGGGCCCCGAAAAGTTAAGTTAACTTTGCTGTAGAGAGAGAGCATTTCTAAATTCAGTTATCTTCCTTGCAGTATTGATGGAGTAAAATACATTTGTTTTAAAAAGTGTGTGTTTTTTTTTTTTAAATTATCTAATGAAGTATTTTATTTTTGACCTGTGAATAGAACAAATGTAAATAGTAGAATGTGAATCTGGTTTTCTTTTGCTTGCAAATTGCCATTTTTTTTCTAATTTAAAATTACATATGCTGTTTTTTCCTTTGATGGTGAGAAAGAACTAATTCCCTGAGTTCATTCATTTTTGTTGATGTCATGGGTAAGCTTCAAGACTTATTGAAGTAGAGTTGTATTTGGGGAAGATACATTTTATATTCACTTTTTTTTCCCCATTCTGTAGTCTACATCGTTTACTCAAACTGTATAAGGAAATAGTGACTGTTCAGGTTTGGCATTTTCATTGCTACTTGCCTGCAGAATTAATGCCCTCTTCCTTGTCTGAGATATTACTGTGTTAAGTGTCCTGTTAATTATAAATAGTTTAAAATGGACAGACTGTCAACTTGAAATTTACTTATGTAAAAAGCTTAGGTGATTCTTAGGGTTTCCATGTTCATAACTTTACAAAGTTTTATAACAATAAAATTGCAACTTAATAGAACAACTAATTAACTTGTATTTGTATAAAAAGAAAAAAGAATTGCAGCTTGATACTGTGAAGTTTTTCAGTAACTTCATTAAACCATATTTATGATGGGAGGGACCAGACATTCTATAGTAATAATGTATAGTGCTGTGTATAATTCCATGGTTTCTTCAACATCTTATCAACCAAATACGATTAATACAACATACGCAAAAGACAGTAAAATAAGAATCTAATTATAGGTGCAAGAGGACTCAGGCTTATGCTGGGAAGAATCTGACAAATGGTATAGTTTTCCTAGGAAGAATTTACTGATGAGTCACATAACTTGCATGTAATATTAGGTTCTCATTTTTTAGGTTCAAAACTTTGTGTCCATGCAAAGACTCCATAACTGTTAAGACTTGTGTGGTTGAATTTTGACTTCTTTGATATTCAGCATTTAGTGCATACATTTTGCAAATAGGGAATTTGATTTTCTGTACCCATAATATTATTTATGGCTAACATTTATTAGGCACTTACTATGTGCTAGGCACTGTAAGCACTTTACATGCATAATCTCAGTATTCCCTATGAGTACAGGGTTAATTATTTACCTCTATTTCACAAATGAGATAATGAAGTGGGAGGTTAAGCAACTTGCTTGAAGTCACAGGTAATAAATCATGGGGCCAGTTTTAACCCAGACAGACCACTGACTCCAGTTCATGCTTTTACTGCCTCACTTTTTTAAGTGGTATTTTTAATTAGGAAGACCATGCTAAAGATACTTTCAAGGATAAGTGATATATTTTCTCACTTCAGTTGTTGGTTTAAAATTAGCATAAAAAGGTAAAACCAGCATGCCCAAACATTGAGCTCAAACATTGACATTAATAAAACCCGAGTGACTTTAAAAGTTTCTTTCTATCCAGGGTTTCTCTTGGGATACGCACATTGTATATTACTGGCTTATATTTCACAATTGCTCATTTTATTCAACATGATTGACTCTGGTTGGCCTTTTATAATTTTCATGAAACATAATTTTCCTCAGTTCTGTAATCCGGATTTTCCCCATTGAGTAAATAAGAATACAATTGAATTTGCATAGGGTAATTTAGACATTTAATAGGATATTGCATAGGTAGAATACTTTGTCAGTACTTAGTTACTACCTATATGTATTTTTGTGTTACTTTTCAGTGATTTAAATCTAACAAATCTGCTTAAATTTGTTTTAAATAGTGAATATCCTGCTCACTATGGAATGAATAAACAGGTAAATTTGATACAAAAAAGCACCGCAGTATGATTCTTTAAGCTTGTAAGTAGCTAAGATAACATTAAATTGTTTGGAATATCCAAACCAAGCACAATAAAGAAGGTAGAAAGAAATATTTTTAATTGAGCAGAGATTGTATAGATGGTTCATTTGGTCACCCATCTTGAATATATGGAAAGTTAAAAAGTACTTCTCAAATACAAAGGAATAAAGCTAAGATGAAGCTTAACGTGAGGAATTACTTACTGTGGAACTGCTTTTCAAACTAGGCTGAGGTGGGATGGTGGTGGTAGTTAAGAGGCCAGCTATAGTAAACATAAGCTTTATAGTTTTATTATGTTAAGAGCCAGAGTCTTGTTCTGTTGGCCAGGCTGGAGTGCAGTGGTCTGATAATGGTTCACTGCAGCTTCCAACTCCTGGGCTCAAGCTGTCTTCCTGCCTCAGCCTCCTGAGAGCTGGGACTACAGGTGTGTGCCATCTTGTCTGGCTAACTTTTTTTTTATTTGTAGAGACGGTCTCACTGTGTTGCCCAGGCTGTTCTCAAATTTCTGGCCTCCTGGCCTCAAGTAATCCTCCCTCCTTGGTCTCCCAGAATGTGTTGGGATTACAGGTGTGAGCCACTCTGCCCAGCCTTGTATTTTGATTTTTAAATTATGTGAATATTTCATTTTACTCCATAATATATCCGGGCTTAATATTTTTAAACTTCATTATAAAACGTTTATTACAGAAGTGGTGTCTTCTAGTTGGGAGCCATCTTTGCACATCTCTCTCCAACTCTGCCTTTAGTGATATGTCAATAACAAATTGGCCATGACAGGAGTATTTTACACCATGGAAATTGATAAATGCAGCAAATCAAGGAATTCCCCTTCCGTTGTCCCCTCAGAGAGCCAGCTTCCCAGCACCTCATCAATTTCAAATATAAAAAAAGAACAGTAAATTTTCATGTACACATCACTCAGCTTCAGTAATTGTCATCTCATAGCCAGTTTTTCCTCTCCTATCCTCAAGGTATACCAGGTACACTGGAGGTGTATTCTCTAGTCTGATATCCAGTGGCATTTGTCTTAAACATTTTTGTCTAGAAAGTATCTAAAAAAATGTAGATCATGTCTAGAAAGTCAATCCAACAACCAAGAGATAGGTAAAAATCATATTAGGAATGCATTTCTATTAATTTACTGACATCACTGTTAAGAGCAGTGGTTCTTGATCCATATGTCACCTGTTTAGTGACCTTGCTGCCTCTGTTTTTGCAGTAAATAATAGCTGTTGTTTATTGAGGTGTATTAGATACTATATGATGTATAATTATGTATGAATTAACTATCATTTAATTCTGATAATCCTAGTAAATGTACTACAGGTCGAGTACTCCTGATCTGGAAATTTGAAATTTCAAATGCTCCAAAAATTGCAAGCTTTTTGAGTGCCAACATGATGCTCAAAGAAAATGCTCATTGCGGCATTTAAGATTTCAGATTTTTGGGTTAGGAATGTTGAACTGGTATAATGCAAATACTCCAAAATCTGAAGAAATCCAAAGTCTTAAATACTTCTGGTCCCAAGCACTTCAGATAAAGGATACTCAATTTGTATTCCTATTTTGGAGATAAGAGATGGAGACTTACAGGCTGGGTTGGTTGGATTGGTTGCCTGTTTTTTGTTGTTGTTGCAGTGGGAAGCTAGGAATGGTTTTTTACATTTTTAAGTGTACTTAAGTCTTAAATGGTTACATAAGTACCCGTATAATAGTCTTGAATTTGCCTCAACCCACCAAGAGTAAAAATGTTTACTATCTGGCCCTTTAAGAAGTTTGCCAACCTAGGTCTGGTCTAAATAATGAAAATTTTACATTAATGAAGGTATTTTCATGGATAGTATTCCTTTTGTTCTTAGAATATTTCTCTGAGGTAGGCAGAATGTATGTTTTATTCTAGAATTATTGGTTTATGCAGTTTTAACTTTACAAATAAGGCAAATCATGCTCAAGAGAAGTTGCTATTTAGTAAACAGCAAAATAAATATAATAACTGTTTTCCCCCGAACTACAACCAAATTTAAATACTAAGTGAGGAAGCAGTAAATATCCAATGATAATCTTGAGTTTCTTAATATCAATTTATTTAGGGTTTTAAAAAAAGTACTGAAATAACTTTGTCACTTAGGACTATTCTCAGGAAAGAGTGCTTTGTTAAGAGCCATGAATGACAAAGTCAAAAGCTTTCTAGAAATCTTTATTTTTCTGTTATAATTGCATTTTCTAATTATCCCAAATGATTTTATAAATTCCCTTTTGTATGCCTGCCTGGGATCCATGAAATAAAAGTATAATTCCTTACCAAAAGAGAAGCATCAGAGACACTGAAAGGCTCCAATTGTTTTATATTTTCAGAAATAAAAGTGATTGTATACCCTTTTATTAACTGCATGGTAGCTTGGTAAAATTTTTATAGAATTTTTAATGATTTATGGTGTTCTGTGATGAGGCAACATTCCACTAAATTAGCCTTCCAAAAGTTGCAGTATCATGTATAAGTATGACAGTTTTGTTTTAAAACCAGAGTCAGATTGAATGTGGCTTTTTTTACAGCTGAAATTTATGCCTTATGTGTATTCATAACACATTGATATCTTAGTGTCCCATTATCTTTATTCTTTGATTATACTCTTGAAAAGTAAATTTACTTATCAAATGATAAAGTTTTAAGGGAAAGTAAAAAAAAAAATTTTTTCTTAAGGCTTCATGGAATAGAATTACATGTAATCAGAATGACTACATAGGACCCTTTTCTGGTAATGAAAGCATGGAGTCTTAACCAAAAAGCTAAGCAGAATTGTTAGATCTTTTGGTTTCTGTCATAATGTACTATTGGAACTTCAAGTAGATATAGTACATTAATATGAAATACTTTGAAATACACCATCTTTGAAAAAAAAAGGTACTTACACAAAAATCACCTAACACTAGTTAGGATGTTGAAATGACTGGTATGTAATATTTTTTAAAGCCTTCATTTTTGGTCAGCATAAGTTTCCTTTAATTATTTTTCTGTTTCCAGTTGGACTTCACTTTGAGGCGTAACATATCAAAGTGAGTATAAAGTTCTATAGTTTAGTCATTGTGGATTCCATGTCATTTATGATGAAAATGGAAATGTGTAGTTTACTTAAGAAAATTTTCTTCTTCTGTAACATCTAACTCTTCATCCTCATCATCATCTGCTTGTTGATCCTTTCTTAGTCGACAAGTGGATACCTGTTAAAAGTCAACACACTTTTTAAAATAAAAATACTAACTTAAAAAAATTTTACATGCTTGGTATCTTTTTATGCTATTAAAGAAAAGGGCACACAACAAATATTTCAAAAAAAAGTCCATGTCATAATTTTTAGTAGTGACAATTCCCTATGAATTTTAAGGTCAGAGGCCAGTTTTTTCATTCATGATATTTTTTGAATAAAAATGTGTAATTAGCCATTTGATTTTAGTTGGATAGCCATCAATACTTCAGAAACACTACTTTAAAAGTATAGACTTAGTATATTATGAATGTTAAAAATAAATTTTGGGTCACAAAAACAGCATTTGAGAATCATAAAATGGATGGCAAAAATAGAAGGATATTTCAGCTAGGCAGTGGGACAGAAATACTGATGTAAAAGTAGTGTGATTTAAATGGAATGAGTTGAGAATCTGAACTCACCAGTTTTAAGTTGCCTGACTGCTGCCACATAGGGCATGTTGCTTAAAACTTCTCTGAGAGTGATTATATCTAACCCAGAGGACATTTGGGACTGTCTAGAGACACTGTTGTTTGTCACTATTGGGGCTGTGTGTTTATGTGTGCTGCTGGCATGTTGTGGGTAGAGGCTGGGATGCTAATATCTGCCTAATATTGTCACAATATACAGGACAGTATTCCATCCCCTTCTTCCTTCCTGGTGGGCCCAATTATTTGTCCCAAAGTCAGCAGTGTTGAGGTTGAGAAACCTGGGATAATGCATTCTAAAGTGCTATACAAGTGTTAGCTAAGGTAACATTATTAGTTGTAGTCAAAACCTTTTTTTTTTTTTTTTGAGACGGAGTCTCGCTCTGTTGCTTAGGCTGGAGTGCAGTGGCCCCATCTCACTGCAACCTCCGCCTCCCAGGTTCACGCCCTTCTCCCGCCTCAACCTCCCGAGTAGCTGGGACTACAGATGCCTGTCATCATGCCCAGCTAATTTTTTTTTTTTGCATTTTTAATAGAGATGGGGTTTCACCGTGTTAGCCAGGATTGTCTCGATCTCCTGACCTCGTGATCCAGCCACCTCGGCCTCCCAAAGTGCTGGGATTGCAGGCGTGAGCCACGGTGCCCGGCAAAACTTTATATGGACTATAAAAGTAAATTTATAGAATTTATGTTCAAAGCACTTAATGCTGGAATAATAAAAATATAATTGGGTTGGGGGAGAGATACATATAAAACAAAATAAATGCTTAGAGGAGAATCAAATGAAAATAGAAGGTATGAAATTTACCTAAAAGTTGTATTTTGAAAATAGTTTGTTGAGTTGCATATTCTGAAGGCTAGATATGAAAAGGGCATAGCTCTCTAGATGAGGGTTTGGCAAGTTGTGGCCCAGCCAGCCTCCTGCTTTTGTAAATAGAATTTTATTAGAACACAGTCATACTGCTTTATGTGTTACTTATAGTTGTTATTTATAGTTGTTGGGGTAGAAACCATATGGCCCACAAAGCCTAAGATACTTAGTCTCCACATCTTACAGAAAAAGTTTGTCAGCCCCTGCTCTAGATACTGGGAAACTCAGGCTTTCTGGATGTAGACAAAAATGATTTCTGTGTTCAGTAAAAGCCATTTTTTGGTATAATTTGGTATTTAACTTTATAATTTAATCAGATCCACTAAGTCTTGATAGTGAGATTTAAACCTAAGTTTGACTTCAGAATCTATGCTCTTCATATTGTAGAAGATAACACATCTGTATGAGCATTCTTCTGTCTT